TAAGTCCCACATTTGAAAAACCTGAGAAGAAAAATTTTAAAACATGCCACGTCACTTTTTAATATTCATAAAATTTGAAAAGATCTGTACTTTATTACATTTGGAAATATTTCTCATTATACACCATTTTCAATCAATACACCCAAATGCTTTTATCTAACAAATAAATATATATCTCTAAGATAAATTAAGTAATGAAAAAGTAAATATATATCCCTTAGATAAGTTAAGCAATGAATGGTTGTGTATTTGCATTTTAAAAATTATTTAACATTTATTTCCAAAGCACTTTTATAGAATCATGACAAAAAATACAGGTTTTCAAACTGAATAATTTGTCCTTTTTCACAAAAACACTATGTTTTGTGTTTTATAAAGTAATATTTTTCTTCTGTATAGTGCCTTTGTGGGCATTTTATAAACTATATATTAACCCAAATAAGAAAACAATAGCACTTAATTTCAATAACCAGCAATAACTGCTAACATTCTAATGTGTAAATCTTAATTTTTCCCTCTCTTTGTCTTTTGTATAGGTTATGTATATATATATTTTTATGAATATATATATATAGTTTTTTAAATTATAGTTTATAAACTATAGTACTATATCACCATTTAATCTGTTTTATAATTACTGATTGCAATGTCTTTATTTTACATTTGTATGTGTGAATGCACATGCACATCATATGCATTCTTTTTCATGGATGCATCATAGTATTCTGTAGATACATCACAAGTACAATTTACTAACACCTATTGTTGGACATTTAGAGTTTATTTTCCTAGGCCTTTACAATTTTCAAACAGTGTAGCAATAAATATACTTGTATGTACACCTTGCACATTGATTTCTCTTTTTTATTATGTTATGTTAATCACCATACATTACATCATTAGTTTTTGATGATTCATTGTTTACATATAACACCCAGTGCTCCACGCAGAACATGCCCTCTTTAATACCCATCACCAGGCTAACCCATCCCCCCACCCTCCTCCCCTCTAGAACCCTCAGTTTGTTTTTCAGAGTCCATCGTCTCTCATGGTTCGTCTCCCCCTCCGATTTCCCCCCCCTTCATTTTTCCCCTCCTGCTATCTTCTTTTTTTTTAACATATAATATATTATTTGTTTCAGAGGTACGGATCTGTGATTCATCAGTCTTGCACAATTCACAGCACTCACCATAGCACACACCCTCCCCAATGTCTATCACCCAGCCACCCCAGCCCTCCCACCCCCACCACTCCAGCAACCCTCAGGTTGTTTCCTGAGATTAAGAATTCCTCTTATCAGTGAGGTCATATGATACATGTCTTTCTCTGATTGACTTATTTCACTCAGCATAACACCCTCCAGTTCTATCCACGTCATTGCAAATGGCAAGATTTCATTCCTTTTGATGGCTGCATAATATTCCATTGTGTATATATACCACATCTTCTTTATCCATTCATCTGTCGATGGACATCTTGGCTCTTCCCGCAGTTTGGCTATTGTGGACATTGCTTGCACATTGATTTATCTAGGAACAATCCTGGGAAGTGAAATTTCAGGTTCAAATATATGACCATTGTAAAGCCTTTTGATACACAGTACCAAATATGTTGTATTTTTAAGCAATTTACTTTGTATCATTGTACATCGGGTACTTTGGAAAACATTCATATAAATGACCATCAACTTTTTGTCAAAAGCTGTCAATGACTGTCAGTCTGAAAAACAAATTTTTTCACAGTTAACAGATATTGAAAGACAGTTAAAATATTCAATAAAAGTCAAGGACAGTATTTTCTTTTTGAATTGCTTGTCCTTTGAAAATAATAATGTAACAAAATATTACATTTCTTTTATCTCATATACATTTTCATTTATTCTTATTTATCTCATTATATCTTAGGTAGTCATTTTAACAATTTCTATTCTAGTCCTCTGACTAGTGAAAGACATTAATAAGTTATTTTTATAGTCTATCCTACTGAAACTAGAAAATAGACATAAGGAACAATGCTTTCTCCTGTGTAATTGTCCCTTCAAAGTGGGCAACTAGCGATTGCATACACTGGTTCTACCTTTTTCTTTATTGCACTTTTATTTGGTACATACGCATAGGTAATATACTTCTTTAATCTTAATCAGAAAACTTTCTCAGATAATATTTTGTTTTATGCTCAGATTCCATTTATTATATCTCTGTATTTTATGAAAATCAATTAGATTTGTTAAAGCTACACTTCATCCATATTGTCATCAAGTGTTTGGGGAGTTTCAACAGAAAACAGTTTTGTATTTCCTATGATGGATCTCTTTACCAGTAGGATACTTTTCTCGTTAAGGATATCATTGTTTGTGAAGTGTTTTCTTTATGAGAATAGGTTGATAAAAATGTAGAAAAGAAATGGAAGACTTCATAGGAGCCAAATAGTTTTGGAGAGAGGAATGTCTGGTTACTGTTTGTCCTAAGGATTAGCCTCCTAGAAGAATTTAAAGTTGTAAGTTAAAAGTGTATTTACCCAAGTTTGTTGACTGTATATCAAGTAAGGTGGTCACTTGAGATTTCATTAGTTAAGGTTCTAACAAAGAATCTTTCCATCTAAGGTCTGTCTATAGATGGTAATTGAGTCTGGAGATGAGAAATGTGTTTGAAATTGGAATTTAGTTGATAACATATTTAAATAATTATTTCACTCTCTCTATTTGCATCTTTGTTTACTTATAGCAAATACAAATTAATGTTCTTCTTAGGACCCCCCAGTGATCTGTTAAATATAAATGATGTCCCATAAACCTGATTCTACAAAATCTTTAAACCCTTACTAAGGAGAAAGACTCCTTTGCAAAGCAATATTAAATCAATATGTTTAAAAAAAATTATGCTTCAATGCAGGGATCATCAAACCATGGCCCACAGACCAAATCAGGCCCGCTGCCTGTTTTGTAAATATGGTTTTCATAGAACAGTGACACTCATTTATGTATGCATTGTCTATACCTGCTTTCATGTTATAGTGGTAGAGTTGTGGTAGAAAATATACCGTCTGCAAAGCCTAAGATACTTAATATCGGCCCTTTACAGAACAAGTTTGTCGACTCCTGCCAGTATATATCACATTACTACCTGGTTATTAAAAACAATTTGATGTAGCTTCATAGGAGGCCGATGTCCAGAAAAAGTCTAAATATTAGAAAATGCGTATATATGTATGTATGTGTCTATATCTATGTGTATGTATATATATTTAAATATGAATATATAAAATGTGTTCAAGCTTTTTTGTCTGTTGGTGCTATTCATATTAATATACTATCTTGCTACCATGATATCAAAATGAAACTTTTTAAAAGAACTTCCCACTCAATTTAGCTAGTATCTTTAAGTACACATAATTTTTTTGATACAGGGATGGCTTTTTGTTCCATTGCCCTTGGAGAAAATAAACATATTTACCTGAGAATATCTCTTAAGGTACAAATAACTTCAAAATTGTATTTTAATATGCTAGTAGACATTTATACTTCACTGTATTTCACATTCAAATCATGGAGGCACTCACTTGATTTTGTGTATCATTCAATTTATATCAATATGACACATATCCCTATTTTTTAATTTGGCACAGACTTAATCAAATAACTATTAAAATGAGACTCTTAAAAGGAACAAATTGCCTCACTTTATTGATAGTTGACTTAAATTTGCTGTTATACTTAGAGGTCATGTAATATAGATTCTTTATACATTCTTTTATTTAGGATTTTCGTACTCCTTTTGGAAATTTTTTCTTTTTTTATCTTTATTTTAAATTAATCGGTTTTTACTTAAAATTTGTTACCAACAAGAATTTTCTGATACACAATGAGATTTTTTTTCAGGATAAGTATTAAAATACTTATTTTTAAATAGGCACACTTTTGTCTAGAGATCTTTACTGCAGTTTTCAGGTTATGATGTTAAGCAAGGGGCATATATGTGTATGTTTACATTCCTCCCCACGCTCAGTGGTTATGAATTTACATGATGACATGTTGTAGATACCCACTTGAGCCCAGTAAGCTATGATTATTTTTCCCAGTTTGTACATTTGTAGTATACAATTGAGATTTTGTGAGCATAATCTCATTATGCATATTTATGAGAAATGGAATTTTCATATAAACCCTCTTTAATAAAAGTTATAAATATACCTTAAAAACACTTTTTCATGTTTGCTAAGATTTGCTAACTGAATTTAGTTCTTATTCTAACCAAAGTTTTTAAAGACCCTCTTGATATCTATAATTGATGTGTTTGGAGGTAGACCTGTTATAGAGAGTATTAGTCTCATTTTGTAATAGGCTTACCATCTCATTTTCTCACCTCCTTACATTTTTTTTTTTCTGAAATGATTTCAGTTATACTCTGTGCCTTTACTGGCATAGTATGTTCTCAGGAGTATTATTCCAAGTGCCTCTTTCTTGGTGCTAGTTCTAGAAAATTCAAGTTCAAAAGATCCATATGTAAGCTTGGACAACCTACTTTTTAACACATGGGCTAATTTTATGATAGTTTCTAAACACAATTGTAAAACTGTATTTGAAACCAATTAGACTTACAGCTATTTTTCAGTAAATAAATCAAATCCTGATGAATTACAAGCCAGTTTTTATTTATAGGATTACTATTGTCAAGTTTATGTGCTGTCAAATATATTCTCCTGGGCATACATGTACCAGAAATGTTTTCTATCTAGTTAAGGTTTGTTGTTCTGTTAAAATTCATTTACATTTTATTCAGATTAATTTTTTTACATATTTAGTAATCATGCTTTTATTCACCAGATTGCATACTTTAAATAAATCTAAGAAATAATATGACATTTTAATTTGTATGTACTACCTTGAATGAAAGTAATATATCAGCCTAGCATTTCTTCTATTATTCTATTATACATCCTGTAAGTAGGGCTCAGAAATAAGAACTGAACATTAATTTTATGGGTTTTTTTCTACTCGATAGGTGCTATGGATATAGAGGAGAGAAATCGCCAAATGAAAATTAACAAATACAAACAGGTAGCCGGATCAGATCCCAGACTGGAACAAGATTACCATTCAAAGGCAAGACATTTTTCTTTTTAAAAGTTGTAAAATAAACAATCATATGAAACCGTTAGATTCTCTTCAACTTCTGAACGCAGATTAGTTAGACACAAACATATAATGCAATGACCCCATGCTATCAAATGCTAAAATTTATAATGTGTTTATATTCCAACTTTTAAGGATAGAAATTGTCTTATTAAAAAAAGTCATTATAATAATATAGGAGATTAAAGAAATGAAACTCATAAATGATCTGAAGAACAAATCTTTTAGAATTTTTTAATTTATAGAACCTACAAGGCTCAACACCCTCAAAAATGTTTAGGAAGAACGGCTGTGGTTTTCCCATACATAGATTTTTTTAAATTTTATAGCATTTTAATTGAACGTGGTTTATTAATGAGTCATTAGAACAAAATACATATTCATATGAGATGCTGTAAGTTCAAAAGTGAGCATCCTTTTGAGCTACTTTTTGGGAATAAGTTGAGGTATGAGGTCAATCAGGGAAGATTCTTGCCCTTCATTGCTTTTATATTTTCAAAACGTGTTTAGGTTCGTGATATTATTCACGGTCAAAGTCATGAAAAGACTTTGCTCTGATGTACCTATTTAAGATTTAATAAGAGAATGAAAATAGCAAAATTTACTCATATAACATTTAGTTACTGTGTGTTCTGTGGCTTAGTAATGTGATCATTGCAATCATGTAATATTTGTGGTCTATATATTTCTGTGTATTAGAGAAAAGCAGTTTAGATTTTTATACGCTTAAGTCTATTTTATTTTTACCTACTTAACCTTTAGTTCCTCTCCATTATACTCCATTCTTTGGTGAAGTCAAGACTTACTAAGTAAAGCATAACTGGCTACATTGGATATGCATATATACGTTTCTGGTTTCCCCACTATACAACCTAACAGAGGCAGAGATTCTTACATCAGCATCATCTTCCAAATCACCAATCTCTTCCCAAAATTACACAAATACTGACATGGTGAATGTAGAATTGTTCATCACAGAGTTCTGATGTACTGGAAATGATACAGGCCTAAAGCCAGAGAAAGGTAAATTCAAGACAAATAAACAAAGCCTTGCCTTTACTCAGCAGGTCCTTAAAATATATTCATTTTCTAAAATAAAAATACGAATAACTTCAAATAGACTCAGTGAATTTCATAGAAAATAGTTTTGTAATGATATAGTATTTCAGATACATTCCAATCTTTTGAGCTTAATGTCAGAAATGATATCTGTCTTCCCAGGTACTTTGTCAGTATTTCTTCGTAGGGCTAAATAGATACACCTGGTCTTTTGTGGAATCTCTTATACTCTAATCTCTCATTTATTCACTATATATAATCCAAAGACCAAGGCATGTACTCCTAATAAAATAGGATCTTAAAACTTCCAGAAACATGTCTTCAAGTAACATCAATTTTTTTGTTTAAAGATTCTATTTATTTATTTGACAGAGAGATAGACAGAAGAGCACAAGCAGAGGGAATGGCAGAGGGAGAGGGAGAAGCAGGCTCTGCGCTGAGCAGGGAGCCCGATGCGGGACTCGATCCCAGGACCCCCAGGATCATGACCTGAGCCGAAGGCAGATACTCAACCATCTGAGCCACCCAGACGCCCACATCAATTTTTTTTTTTATCTCCCACTGTATTTTAGGAAAGAATGTAGATGATTTTTTAAAGTACATATAATACTCTCAATAATATTGTCAATGAAGAGATGAATATCAAAGTTAAGGCAAAACAAAGTAACAGTAAAAGTAAAGTTTGTGAACAAAATGCATAATGTGAGACCCTATATACCTGCTGCATGTGAAGCATGTATTTTCCTTGTGAGCTTCCTAAAAAGCAGCAAAGACAGAAGGGATAACTGGGTCAGTTGTATGATTCCCATTGTTTATACAATAAAAACAAGTTCCTTAGATGCAATATCAATGATTCCTGTTATAGATACCTGACAGAAATTTGCTATAGGAGGATGGACCAATGGAATACAATAGGCATGGCTCCAGATTTTTTTTTCAAAAAAATAAGTTTTTATTCCATTCCAATTCATAAAGTAATTCTTGAATCTTCAAAGTTTTATAACTTTGACACCAATTATTTTGGGCTGGAGAAAACTTAAATCTTGGCAAAGTACTAATTATACTAAGCAATATAATTTCATAGGTATTCTGTAAGGAAGTGGTTTTCTAAGTGTAGTTTCACCAGTGGCATCATCACCTGAGGACTTCTAGAAGTGCAATACTCTGGCCCAAGGACTTAATCAGAACTCTGGGGGTCAGGTCCCTTTGTGTACACCAAAGTTTGAGAACCGCTCTAAGGTGAGCCGCTTGTAAAATTGACTTCCTCTATTAGGGTCTTAGCTGGAAGCCATGATGAATGATGTCATTAAAAAATGGAGACTTGGAGATTAGATGATCTGACACCTTTACAAGGTGCTCATAGTTTATAACATCCTATCACTTGAATATCAAATACTTGTCATTATGAAGTTATGCATTCAGCCTAACTAAAAATGTACTTAAGCCATTAAGGTATACCTTCTTTAAAGGGTCCAAAACACAACTCTGTTTCATTACCCTACAAATTACTTACTGATATGGACTATCTTTGCTGGGTCATCTATCTCCCCATCATCCCTAACATGATCTCCCTCTGTCATGGATCAAAAAGAAAATTAGAGAAGCATCTGTAGAACAATAACTACTAAGTTACTATCTAAGAATATTTTAACTATACTAGGAAATTTGAAAACAGAAAGCTTTTGTTTAAGAAGAGCAGTAAAAGGCATGTGCAGACATGATTCCAATTTCTCAGGGGGTCTTCCCTCAAAACAGAATTTAACTGCGTTTATCTCAGTCTATTTATCTTTTTCCCCTTTCTCTCTCTTTATCTCAGCTTAAAATATCTGTTCCACTCTCAGCAGAAATTTAAGGAGCAACTTTGATTTTTCCCTATAAGATCAATATTCTGTGCTCTTCGTTGGCTCAGAAAAAAGTGATTTGTCTATTAAATTTAACAGTGCAAAATATAATTCAGCATAGACCAACTACCCTTCTGTGAGTTATGTAATTGCTAATTAACAGAACTGGCAATAATTGAATGTCAAACAATATGTAACTAGACCTGAAAATTAATATGGAGAATTTGATAATGTTTATTTAAATATATAATGTTTATTTTTTAATTAGCTATACTTATTATTTTAAAATGATCCAGGAAGGTATTTTTTTAAAAGGGTAGTCCCTAACATTTCAATAGAGAATACTATACAGTTCCTTGGTACAGTATTTATTTGGAATTCAAAGCTTTTATCTCTGTAGAAATAATGCTGTTTTTTAAATTAAATAATTAAATGATTTTGTGTTCCCACAAAAATATCTTACTCTTATTACAGCATAAGTGCTATATATAAATATCATATTATAATTTTGTTTTCTTATTTATCTCCCTAGAATTAAGTAATAAAACCCATAAGTGCCCAGAAATTTTCAAATGTGAGCCAAAAGTCTAAATTAATGCATTTAACCCTTAATCTAATGGACTGACTTAGCGTTCAGGGAGCAGAGGATGGTGTAGTAAAAGAAAGGAAAAGGGTTTTACTCCATTCATTGTGCACACCTGAACCTACTTCTTGTCACCCTAGTTAGTCTCAGGCTTTTTGTCCTTTAAGGACCCATTCACCCATTTCAAAAAGACCTATCAAAAGGAAAGCAATCCGACTAAAGTAATGTACATTATAATATGAATAACATAACACAGAAATAGTTTCAGTTTTTTAAACCTATAAATACAACTAAAACTCACATTGATGCGATTGCAAACAATAGCAATGTAAAAAATTTCAGACAGTTTGGGTGCCTGGGTGGCTCAGTTGGTTAAGCGACTGCCTTCGGCTCAGGTCATGATCCCTGGGATGGAGCCCCGCATCACAATGGGTTCCTTGCTCAGCGGAGAGTCTGCTTCTCCCTCCGACCCTACCCCCTCTTGTGCTCTCTCTCTTTCTCTCTCTCTCTCAAATAAATAAAATAAAGTCTTCAAAAAAAAATTCAGACAGTTTAAGTATTTTTGACAAGTAGGTCGCCTCTGTTACCTAAGCTCTTCCTTTATTAAAAGAACTTATTCTCTTCTCCACACTGAGAATACACATTCAGGGTCAGTCTTGAGTGTTTTAAATGGATTTTCAAGACATAGGCAACAGGGACACCAGAAGAGGGAAACAGGCTGGGGCAGGTTAGGAGTGGCCGCATATGAAGTGTTTGTAAGTTTGCTGTTTGTAAACAGGAGTACTTGAAGACTTCAGTGTCCTCACAATGTGGCAGTGGTTCATGCCTGTAGTGTAGTAGTTGGAGGCACAGCCTGCAGAAACTCCCCCTGGGTGACTTTGGGTAGGTTAACCCTTTATTCTCAGTTTCTTTACCTATTAAACTGGGCTTTGAGACCTGTTTCGTAGGGTGATGATAGGGTGAAATGAGATGATGTGTATAAATGGCGTAGCATTTAGTGATTAAATGCTGAATACGTGGTGCAGATAACATTTGTTTTTATTTTTGTAATAACAACAGCAAATGTAATCATAGACACCAGAAATTAAAATGACAAGGTCGAAAAGAAATAGTAAAGAAATAATTGAGCTAATGAAAAGGATTTCAGGCTAACTCAAATATCATGGAATGTTCCCTTTGTTCTCAGAGAATTCAAGCATCAGAGATCTAAAATGAAAAATCAAATTTAGGGGGAAGGAATTTATGAATCTTCAAGGGATATGGAGATTAAAAACGCGAGCCTGGAACATAACATGGGATGGGAAATTACAAACTAAATTATTGAAATTAAGAAATTATGATATCAAGGCTGATGTTAATGGGCGTGGTCCTTGGAAAGTGGTTAACAGGTGCACGCGCAGGCATGGGCATTTAACAGGAAATGCTCCATAACAGCAGTGATGTACATGGATCTGAACATTCTAAGACGAAATTTATAAAAAGTAAAA